TCTAACAGTGCTATTGCTGGGTCATAGGGTAGGTCTATTTTTAATTTTCTGAGGAACCTCCACACTGCTTTCCAGAGCGGCTGCACCAATTTGCATTCCCACCAACAGTGCAAGAGGGTTCCCGTTTCTCCACATCCTCTCCAGCATCTATAGTCTCCTGATTTGTTCATTTTGGCCACTCTGAATGTTTATTTATTTTTGAGAGAGGGAGAGAGAGATAGACAGAGCACAAGCATGGGAGGGGCAGAGAGGGAGACACAGAATCTGAACCAGGCTCCAGGCCCTGAGCTGTAAGCACAGAGCCTGACGCTTGGCTTGAACTCACAGACCATGAGATCATGACCTGAGCTGAAGTCGGATGCTCAACGGACTGAGCCACCCAGGCACCCCTCCCTTATCTCTACTTTTAATCCATCATCAAGTCCTGTCTATCATATCTCCAAAATGCATATCAAATAAGTCACCATGTGTGCTAACCACCCTAGTCCAAGCCTTCACACCATCATCTTTCACTGGATACTTTAATAGTCACCAGCTGTCCCTACTTCTTTTTGCAACCCTCCCCCGGTTCTGTTCATAAAGCATCTAGACTTTTGCAAAATGTAAATTGGATCATGTTGGTCTCTTGCTTAAAACATTTCAGTGACTTTCACTGTGCTTCAAATAAAGTCCATTCTTGGCCTAGAGTGCCCTATATGGTCTGGCCCATTCCTATGTCTCCAACTGCATCACCAATACTGTGCTCTAGGTGCTCACTCTTGATTCATTGGTCAGATCAGACTTTCCTACCTTCGAGCCTCTGGACATACTTAGAAGCCTTCCCTACTCCCAACCTGGTTATGATATCTTAACTATCCCTCTGCTCTCCTCCAAGATTCTTCTTGTCAAGATTACCATTGACCTTGTGTTGCTAATACTAATGCTGATATATGCAGCATCTCTTCTGCTGTGCAGCAAACTTCTGGTTTCCTTATTAGACCCTGAGTTCCTTGAGGTCAGGGACCACATCTACAAAACAACTTACTATTCTAGCACAGTGACTGGCTTATAGTTAGGTGTTTAATAAGTGCTTGTAAAATGAATGGAGGATGCAAGTTGAGACCTCTTGGGAAAGACTGCTGCAGTAGTAACTCACAATCCCTCATTGATATGGTAGGCAGAAACTAGAAGGAACATTAGAAGACAAGGGTTCAAGGTTTGGCACTAGCAATACCTATTGTTGTTAAAATTCTTCTGACCTTAGATTCCTCATCTGCCCTATCTATATCATCAAATTTCTGATATATCTAACGCTTATTTTAAGATTAAATTTTTTTATTGCTGAAGCTGAATTTCTTAGTCTTCTATCACCAATTTCCTTTTTGTAGATTGCAAAACTTAAGTGAGATTTAATCTTTTTAAATTTGTAATCATGAAAATTATCAGACCTAAAAGAAGTAGGGAGAATAGTATAAACACCCATGTACACATCATTAGCTTAAATTATTATCCACTAATATCTAATCTGGTTTTATTCCTAGCCCTACTCATTTCCCCTCCCATTATTTTCAAGCAAATCCTAGACATGGTGTCATTTCATGACATATACTTCAGTATGTATGAATTATAATTGTCAACTGCTAGCTGCCACCCCTTCTGTTCCTCAATGGCTTAAAAAGTGAAGTATTCATTGAACAGTATGTTGCTTTTCCCAGAAACCAGAAAACTAGCACAACTTTATCTCATGATTGAACCAAACTGTGTAAATTCTTTGAGGGAGGTAGAGGAGGGTGGACATTACAACACCTAGCTCTGAGCCTTGCAATCAATAAACAGATGTTTAATGAAAAATTCAATTCAACGTGGTTGAGGTTTAAAAAAAAAAATTTTTTTTAATGTTTATTTATTTTTGAGAGAGAGAGCACGAGCAGGGGAGGGACAGAGAGAGAGGGGAAGACAGAATCCCAAGCAGGCTCCAGGCTCTGGGCTGTCAGCACAGAGCCCGACGCAGGGCTCAAAACTCACTAACCTGAAATCATGACCCGAGCTGAAGTTCGACGCTTCACTGAGCCACCCAAGCGCCCCTGGAGTTTTAAATATAATTTTATCCACAGGAATCTAGGACCTTGTCTTACCTCTTTGCTTGTGTTCTTTTCCTGAATTCATTACTTTACAGGAATATTTCAAATTCAAAGCTTTTTTGTTTGTTTAATCAGATGATTGCAGCCTTTGACGACTTCCAAACAGGACTCACTACCAGGGGGCGGTGCTGCGCCGAGGCCCGGCCCCGCCCTCCTTTCCCCCCTTCCCCTGACGCCTTGCTCTTCTTCCCAGCATACCTAGCGCCCTTCGCGGCGCTCCTCAAGATGGCGGCCGACAGTGAGGTGAGGTGTTTGCTCTCTTTCTATCCCTGCCTGTAAGTTCTCTCTTCCGTGTCAGCGCCCCGGGGCTCAATCTGTTTTTCTTTCCTTCCTTTTCCCGTAGCCCGAGTCCGAGGTATTTGAGATCACGGACTTCACCACTGCCTCGGAATGGGAAAGGTGAGTGAGTCGTATCCTTGGTAATCAGTACCTTGGGCCCCGGAGTCTTCGTGCCACTTCCCCAACATAGACCACACGTGACACTAATTCTGCGGTAAAAGTAAGATCCGCGAGCCCCCAGCTCTGCGTCTCCTCTGGTTTCTAGGCAGCTGTAAGTAAGCCTCTTGCGTCTGAACAGCCCGGGCCCGCCCCCATCAGCCAAACACCTGAGATGCGGCTTTCAGAAAAAGTTTTGTTTACTCTGAGAGCACTTTCCTTAGAACGGTTGTTGCCCACCCGCAGAAACAATGTCCGTGGCTACCACGTCCGTTCCTGTTTTCATTTCCGTTTAACACATTTTGTGATCATAAGCAGTGAACTTCGCAGCTGCTTTTTCCTTCTGTGTACGTCGCATATCCATTTCTGGAGGAGACCTTCATAGTGCTGGTGGTTGTCCATCTGCTACTTTCCCACCATCTCCATCCGGTCTTTTAGAATAATCTTTTAAGACAGGCTGCAGATGGCTTTGGAACCCTTCGGTTCAAGTTGTTGCATTTCAGTGGGTCATGTGCCCAGGCTTCCTATGCTCAGCAAACCTCTCTGAACAGCTGAGAGAAATCGTTGTATCATTGAAATTAGTTGAAACCCAGCTTTGTGGAGGAGTGATAGCTTAGATGGAGAAATTTTCTGGTCGGTATCACAGAGACCCTTCTGGGTGTCCAATCAATATTTAGTTTCTTGGAACATTTTGTAATCTTTCTGGTTGGAGAGGAAATTTGTACATGTTATGTCATTAGATGACATAGTAAAATATAAAAGATCCCTGCTGGTATAATAGTTTGATTTGTGGTGCCCCCCCCCCAAAAGAAAAGTCAGTTAGACATAATCATACTGGCAAGGCTGTATTGGGTAGATATTCTGTGTCCAGAATGTTTAATATTAATGGAAAAGAACAAAATAAAACCTTTGATCTGTGTGGGTTTTTTTTTTTTTTTTGAGTTTTTTAATGTTTATTTTATTTTTGAGAGAGAGGCAAGGGGAGGGGAAGAGAGAGAGGGAGACACAGAATCCCAAGCAGGTTACAGGTTCAGAGCTGTCTGCACAGAGCTGGACAGAGCCTCGAACTCCTGAACCATGAGATCATGACCTGAGCTGAAGTTGGACCCTTAAGCGACTGAACTACCTAGGTTACCCCTGGGATTCTTTTTTTTTAGGTTTATTTGTTTATTTTGACGGGGGGGGGGGAGAGGGAGAGAGGGAGGGAGATACAGAATCTGAAGCAGGACCTAGGCTCTGAGCTGTCAGCACAGAGCCTGATTCCAGGCTTGAACCCAGGAACCACGAGATCATAGCCTGAGCCAAAGTCAGATGCTTAATCAACTGAACCACCTAGGCACCCTGATCCACGTGTAGGCACCCTGAACAGAGCTTGGAGTCTGCTTCGGATTCTGTGTCTCCCTCTCTCTTTGCCCTCACCCGCTCGCACTATGTCTCTTTCTCTCTCTCTCTCTCAAAGATAAACAAACATTAAAAAAAAAATTAAAAAAAAAAAACCACCTAACTTTTTAATCACTTATCCTTTGCAGAAATATTTATTAAGTGCCAGTTTGTCAAATACAGTGCAGGGCATAGGGATGTGATCAATAAAAATAGACAATTCCTGCTCTTAACATACAGTCTAATGAAGGAGACAGACATGAGTCAAATAATGATACACATAAGTCTGTAATTAAAATTGAAATAAGAACTGAGAAGGGAAAGAAACCTGGTTTTACAAGAGCATGTGACAAAGGAACCTAACAGAATGAGGAGTCAGAGGAAAAGACCCTTCAGCTGAGGTCTTGAGAGCTTTCAGGGGTAAAGTTATTCAATTTTTTGGTCAAATCTCCATACTTCAGTAGAACCCAATTTTTCTCTTTTAGCTAGTAACTGATAGAATTCATAAAATAAGTACTTTAGTATGTTCCTTTTACTGTGAAAGCAATATTATCTTAAACAATTTTTATTAAAATAATACTTCATAGTAGAATAAAAAAGAAAAATATAAGAAACCTGTAATTGTACCACCAGGAGATAGCTACTATTAATATTTTGAGAAAATTTCTTCTAATCTATGAGTGTTTTGTAAGCATTCTGTGTCAAAACATATTAATACTTGTTTCTATAGCTTCAATTTTTTCACTTAATGTATGAAATGAACATTTTCTTATATCCTCAAATGGTCTTCAAACTTGATTTTTTATGGATGCATACTATTTCATTCAGTGGATATACCATTAATTTACAACTTTTGTGCACTTAGACAATTAGGTAGCTTCCAGTTTTTTTTTTCCTTTATAAATACAATGTACATTTTACTTGCAAATTTTTGCTCACATGTGGATACAATAAAAATTTTTATTTCCTTTTTTTGTAAACATGTTAACTTCTTTCTAGAGCATTTTCAAAACTGATAATTAACTTTTTGATTGAACTGCCCAGAAGTGAATCAGTATATTAATACTGCCTTTCATCTTAAAGAGGACTTGATTACAAGGTTCATTTAAATTGTAATAACTCTGGTTTATCATTACTATCATTACTGTCTTAAAACAAATGTAAATATTAACTGATAATGTCACTGAGGGAAAAAACCTGATGGCTTTGAATATATTTTGACTAGAATTAACTCTAGTACTCTAGTAATATGACGTAGGTGTTATAGGGGAGCAATTTTGCTATTAGATTACATCATACTTAAGTTAGCTTTTTGGAGTAATAAAAGCCTTCTGAAAGTGTCTTTTAACAGTACTACTGAGATTTGACAGTTTTTAATTTGCTGATTGAGCATATTACTAGTCAGAATTCATTCTCTTTTTAATAGATCTGGTTCATCAGTAGATTTAAAGATTATATAGTGATTAGTATTAAAATCTGTCATTTATTCCTTAAAGCTGACAAATCTACTTGTTGTTTCTTTCCAGCTGTCCCTTAAAACATGTTTTATTTATTTTTCATTTTAAAGTTTTACTTTTTAAAAATTTATTTATTTTGAGAGAGAGAGCGTATGCAAGTGGGGAACGGGATGAGAGATGGAGAATCCCAAGTTGGCTCAGTGCTATCAGCACAGAGCCTGATGCTGAGTTGGATTCCCTGAACAGTGAGATTGTGACATGAACCAAAATCAAGAGTCAGAGACTTAACAGACTGAGCCACCCTGGTGCCCCAAAACATGTTTTATTTTAATGAGCAAAGTTCCTAAATGTTTTCTTTTGAGGGGAGAGGTAGGCAAATCATTTCCTAAATATCTTCAAAGGAAAAGTTAATTTAAATAGATTAGTTACTTTGAGGGTAGGGAAAAGATCATTGGTTTCATAGTTATTTTTAGTAGTATCCTTTTAGTCTTTCATTTTTTTTTTTAAATGTATGTTTATTTTGAGAGAGACAGAGAGTGCACACACCTGAGAGGGGGCGGGGCAGAGAAAGGGGGAGAGAGATAATCCTAAACAGGCTCTGCCAATGTCAGTGCAGAGCGCAACATGGGGCTCCAACTCCTGAATTGTGAGATTGTGACCTGAGTGGAAATCGAGAGTCAGGCGCTTAACTGACTGAGCCGTGCAGGCACTCCTGTCAGTTTTTACTTCTGTTCCAAATTTATTATATACATTCTAATATAGAGACTTACTCTTTTTTATTTTTTATTTATTTTTTTATTTTAGACAGAAAGCATGAGAAGGAGGGAGGGACAGAGGGGGAGAGAGAGAGAATCCCAAGCAGACTTCATGCTTAGTACAGGGCTGGACACAGGGCTCAATCCCCCAACCCTGGGATCATGACCTGAGCTGAAATCAGGAATTGAACGCTCAATCGATTGAGCCACCCAGGCGCCCTGAGATTTATTAATTCTTAATTTAAATTTTATGGAAGCAGATTGCCTTTGTTGGGTAAGCATTGGACTTTAAAATTTGGGATGCCTGGCTGGCTTGGTCAGTAGAGCTTGGGATTCTTGATCTTGGGGTTGTGAGGTTGAGTCCCACACTGGGGGGTAGAGTTTACTTAAATAAATAAATAAAATTTATTAAAAAACCAGAATTTAAGAATTCTTGGATTGCAGAGGATTATTTCCACATTTATTCCATATCCATAAATTAGACTAATAATACTAAACTTATTGAGCCTTCTCTGATAAAAATGTTGAAATTTAAAAAATACTTTTTTGGCATACCTGGTTGCTCAGTTGGTTGAGTGTCTGACTTTTGATTTTGGCTCAGGTCGTGATCTCATGGTTTGTGAGATTGAGCTCCACGTTGGGCTCTGTGCTGAGCCCGTAAATGGGCCCATTAATACTCATTCTCATTCTGTCTCTCTCTCTCTCTCTCTTAAATAAATTAATTAAAAAAATACTTTTTTTAAAGAAATTGTATAACAGTAGTAAAAAAGAAAAAAGCACTGTTACATATTTAGAAAGTTTTTTTCTCATTACTAGGTTTATTTCCAAAATTGAAGAAGTCTTAAATGACTGGAAACTGATTGGAAACTCTTTGGGAAAGCCACTTGAAAAGGTCAGATTTATTTGCTGGTGTCTCTAAATGAGTATTTACTTTGAAACTTCTATTTTTAAGCCCTTTGCTGCATTTGGTACATTTGAATTAAATGTTTTTTTAAAGTTATATATGAGCTATAAGCATAAAGTGGCATCTGGAAGAACTTGGATTTGAATCTGTGGCAAAAAACAATGTAAGACATTTGTGAGCTCTTTTTAAATAAAATTTTATATGTACAATGTCATTCTTTATGAGTGATTTCTATTTCCTCTAATGTTTACTGCTCTTTTGCTTTCTCCCTTAGAGTATTAGAAAATCTTTTTTAAAGGTTTTTTTGTTTTTTTTTTGTTTTTTTTTTGTTTTTGTTTTTTTTTTGGCTAGTCAGAGAAACATTGCAATTACCAATTACCAACTTCTTGGGTAGAGTATTTTGCTTAACTAATGAGGAAAAATCTTGGTCTTAACTGACTTGCTGTTGTTAGCTATTTCACTCAATTTTTGTATTTTACAGTACCATTAATAGTATTTGCTCTCTCCCTCCCCCTTTTTAACCCTGTGGATGTTTTGAGGATATTTAAGAATGAAGAAGTTATTCAAAATTGAGGTAGAATTTTAAGATGTTACTGGATATTAAGATATTCTTACTGAGATAAACCGTGCCTCAGAATGTATTCTGAGGACAAACCTAGATTTTCTCTTTTTCACTAACAGGAACTATCAATTTGATTCTAGGCTTATGTAGATGCTTTGTTTTGTTAGGTAAATTTTTTTTTGAAGTAAAAATGATCATTTTTATTATAAGTCTATTATTAACTGCAATTTATCCCTCTGTAAGGAACTCTCAATTCTCAATATTCATGAGTATTTTTAAGGCTTATGGTGATGTTAACAGAATTTGAGACTATCAGAGCATCAGCATTTTCTTCTTTTTTCATATAAATAAGAGCAGAAAAAGTAACACTGCATATAGAAATCACACATCATTAAAAAAATTACATAGCATTGAAAGATATGCTGAATATAAATACATTAAAATATTTTTAGGATTACATTTTTTGAATAAAGGGAAAATGAAGTTTTCAAACAGATTATCCTATTCCACTTGAAACAAATATATAACAACAATTGATATAGATGACAAAATTAAGGGCAAAACAAGGTAGATATAACTGGAGTGGGCAATGATTTGCACCACCAAAAAGAGAGCTAAATTGAGTATTTGTGAGCTCTGATGTTATATTCCTTAATTCTTTGATCTGCACGTATTTACTGAGTATCTCCTATGTGCCAGATCTGAAGAAATAGTGAACAAGGCAAGATCCATGTTGCCATTGAACATGAATTCTGATGAGGGAGAGAAGTAATAAATAAGTAAAGAAATAAGATTAAAATTTTAGATGCTGAATTCAGTTTTGGGATAGAAACTGGGTAATATATTCAAAGTGGGTAGCATACTGCCAGGCATGTAGTGGGGGTTAAAGGAATGTTAACTCTCTTCAACCCTTTTCTCCCTATAGATAGTAGTAAATAAATGAGATAGAGAAGACATGAATAGATTGCAAGGTGAGCTATTAACTATGATGAATAAGATTAAAGAAAATGTAAAGGACGGGTTGTTCAGTATATAAAAGAAAGTTTAAACTGTGCTTGAAGAGATTTTAATTCACGGGTGGGATAGTGATTGTCTTCCTCCACTGATGGGGAATAAAGATACTTTAAAAAAAAAAAACTTGAATTATGAAAAATTTCAAACACTTGTAAAGTAGACAAAAATAGTATGATTAACCTCCATGTGCCCATCACTCAGTTTCAACAATGTTCTGCCATTTTCTTCTTTCAGTCGTATCTCTATCAACTCCTACTCCCCACTAGAGTTTTTAACTTGTTTTAAAAATAAAAATCAACATATTGCACAAAACTGGTTAATTTTGACAAACGTTTACTTCCTTGTAACAACACTTCTCACTCAAGATACTGAACGTTGCTGTCACACCAGAAAGGTCCCTAGTGACCCTTTCCAGTTAATTCCCATGCTTCTCACTCATGTCCCCCAGGCATCTGCTGTTCTCTTTTTTCTTTTAAATTGTAGACTACTTTTGCCTCTGTCTTGAATTTTGTATATATATGGCATCGTATGGTATGTATTTGTTGTGCCTGACCTTTTTACATTTTTTTTGACATTATTCTAGAATATTGCGTGAATCACCATTTTTTCTTTTTATTGCTGAGTAATACTCTGTTGTATGAATATACTACAGTTTGTTTCACTTGTTGACAGACATACTGGCTATTATGAATAAAGCAGAACATTCTTGCATGAGGCCTTTGGAGATGGTATGTTTTTATTTCTCTTGGGTAAATACCCAGGAGTGAAATTACTGGGTCATAATATAGGTATATGCTTGACTTTAAAAGAAACTGCTGAAGCTTTTTGTACCATTTTATCCCCCTACCAGCAATACATACATCAGTTTGGGTAACTGCATTCTCACTAGTTGCTTGTTTTCCACTCTTAAAAATTTTAGTTCTAGTGGGTATGTAGTTTGTAGAATTAATTTTTATTTCTTATTCTGGTTTTCATTTGTATTTCTTTGATGAGTATTAGTATTGACTATCTTTCATGTGCTTATTAGTCATTTGTCTTTATGAAATGTCTGTTCAAAATTTTGTCCATGTTTATTTTTATTTTTGAGAGAGAGAGAGAGACACAGATCGTGATTGGGGGAGGGGCAGAGAGAGCTGGAGACATAGAATCCAAAGCAGGCTCCAGGCTCTGAGCTGTCAGCGCAGAGCCTGATGTGCGGCTCAAACTCAAGTATTGTGAGATCATGACCCGAGCCAAAGTCAGATGCTTAACTGACTGAGCCACCCAGGCACCCCGTCCATGTTTTAAATTCATATGAGTTTTTATTGAGTTGCAGGAGTCTTTTAGTTCTTTTGTGTATTCTGCTTGTTTTCTCAGATAGTTTTGCTAGGTCATGAAGATACTTTTTTAATGTTTCCTTCTACAGGCTTTATCATTTTAGACTTTAGGCCTATGATCCATCTTGAACTAATATTTGTATATGGTTTGAAGTGAGGAATCATGGTTCAGTGTTTACGTATGGATATCCTCTTCTAGAACTCTCTGTTGAAAACACTTTTCTCCGTTAAATTGCTTTGTCACCTTTGTTAGACTGTTGACATAGGGAGTCATCTTCTGCAATCTGTATTCTGTTTCATTAATCTATTTCTTCTGATGTCAGTACCACATTGTCTCGAATACTGTAGTTTAGGGTTTCCCCAACCTTGGCATTATTAAAATTTTGGGCCAGATTGTTACGAGGCTGACTCATGTAGTACAGGATATTTAGTAGTATCCCTGGCCTCTAACTACTAGATGTCTAGCACTCTCCCAAGGATAGCAACTAAAAATGCATCTAGACATTGCCACATGTTCCCACGAAAGGCAACATTGCCCTCAGTTGAGAACTACTGAATAGCTTTGCAGTAAGTCCTGAAGTTAATGTAAATTCTTTAGCTTTTATTGTTTTCCCAATATTGTTTTCTCTGTTCTAGGTCTGTTATGTTTCCATTATGAATTTTAGAGTAAGCTTGACAGTTTCTGTAAAAGGGATTATGATTACGCTGGAACTGATTGGATTTGTGTTCAATTTCTAGACTACTTTGGGGAGCAGTGGCATTTTGACAATCTTGAACATGGCCCATCTTTCCATTTATTTAAGTCTTTAATTTTTCTCAGCACTGTTTTAAGGTTTTTGGTGGAGGTCTTATGTATCTTTTTTTATTTTTAATATTTATTTTTGAGGGGTGGGGAGGGGCAGAGAGAGAGGATCCCAAGCAGGTTCTGTGCTGTCAGCACAGAGCCCGAGGCAGGGCTTGATCCCATGAACCATGAATTCATGACTTGAGCTGAAATCAAGAGTTGGACACTCAATGGACTGAGCCACCCAGGCGCCCTGCATATCTTTTTAAAAATACATTATTAAGTATTTTATGTTGTATGTAGTTGTAAATGGAATTGTTTTTTAGTTTCATTTTTCATTTGTTTGTTGCTAGGATGTAGACATACAAAACATTTTGTGTGTTGACTTAAAATTTTTTTTATTTGGGTATAGCCAACACATAATGTTATGTTAGTTTTAGGTGTACAACATAGTGATTTGACAACTTTTTACATTATGATGCTCACAAGTGTAGCTATCATTTGTCACCATATAGCACTATTACAGTATCATCAACTATTTTTCTTATGCTGTGCTTTTTTTCCCCATGACTTATTCATTCCATAACTGGAAGCCAGTGTCTCTCACTCCTCTTCACTCATTTTGCCCAGCCCCCAACCCACCTCCCCTCTGGCAACCATTCTGTTTGTTCTCTATATTTATAGGTTGTGTGTTGACTTTGTATCTTGAGACCTGGCTAAAGATTCATAATCTTATTGTTAATTCTTTTGCATTTTCTACATTCATAATCACCTTGCCTGCAATTAGGGATATTTTTCTTTTTTTACAGGTTTCATACCTTTTCGTTTTTTTTTTATTTTAAATTTTATTTTGTTAATGTAGAATGCAATATTGGTTGTTTTTTTTTTTT